GACAAGGCTAACCGGTCTCGATCTCGGTTAGAGCCCCTGGGCACCCAATAACCAGACCTAACCGGACTTTCGAACACTAGGTGAAACAATGTTTCCAGACAGTGAAAGAATAGTAGTGTATGGTTAGACAATGTTCCTGGAAGGTCAAACAATGTTCCTGGAGGGTCAAACTCAAACAATGTTCCCAGAGGGTCAAGCAATGTTTCCAGGAGATCAAAGAAGAATTTTGGCACTAACAGAAGCTGAAATCTTTGGGTTTCACAGCTACTTTGGCTTCTAGAGAGGCAACACAATATTTCCGGAGGTATTTCGGCACTACCAGCTGATGAAATCTTCGGTTTTAATATCTATTCAATGCACATAGTATTTGGGAGGCAACACAATATTTCCGGAGAGATTTCGGCACAACGAGCTGATGAAATCTTCAGTTTTAACATGTTTTGAGTGCACATATTCTTTGGGAGGCAACACAATGTTTCTGGAGGTATTTCGGCACTACCAGCCGATGAAATCTTCGGTTTTAATATCTATTAAGTGCACATATTTTCTGGGAGGCAACAAGATATTCCCGGAGGTACTTCAGCACTATGAGCCGATGAAATCTTCGATTTTAACATGTGTTGAGTGCACATATTCTTTGAGAGGAAACACAATATTTCCAGAGGGATTTGGCCACTATGAACTGGCAAAATCTTCGGTTTTAACATGTGTTGAATGCACATATTCTCTGAGAGCCAACACAATATTCCCAGAGGTATTTTGGCACTACCAGCCAACAAAATCTTTGGTTTTTCTATCTATTGAGTGCACATAGTCCTTGGGAGGCAACACAATATTTTTGGAGGTATTTCAGCACTACCAGCCGATGAAATCTTCGGTTTTAATATCTATTAAGTGCACATATTTTCTGGGAGGCAACATGATATTCCTGGAGGTACTTCGGCACTACCAGCCGACGAAATCTTTGGTTTTAACATGTGTTGAGTGCACATATTCTTTGGGAGGCAACACAATGTTTCCGGAGGTACTTTGGCACTACC